GAATAAAGGGAGCAAGAGTGCACGCTCTTCCCCCATCCTCAGTGGACCGGTAGCGTTCAGTTCTGAATTGGGAACTTGAGCCACTGAAAGCTGATGAAGGTTAAGGCTCTCTTCTTTGCTGTCCCTTTCCCTTAGGGAGGGTAGATTCGAAAATTGTAATCTCTCAGTTATGATTAGGTCTCTCCCTAACTCTATGTGGATTTGAGTAGAATTGTTATTTCCAGTTTGTGTTTCTGTGTCCTCTGTGATAGTGGGGGTCAGAGGTTGGGCTGCAGGCCTCCCAGTGGTATGAAAAGCAATAATCCAATTTCTAGGCTGAGCCAAAAATAATAGTAACCCCAAAACAGGGCCAGGATTCAGTGCAGCGCTCATTGTCATGAGGCAGGCTTGTTTCCTTTTAGTGATCTGGACATTCATTCATCTTGATTCTTCTGATGAGTTTACCTACATGGTCCCAATATTTGCGTTAAAACCAACAAACCTATTGCCGCAAGTTGATTCCGACTCATAGCAACCCTGTGGGACAGAGTAGAACTGTGTCATAGGGTTTCCAAGGAGCCCCTGATGATTCGAACTGCCACCCTTGGTTAGCAGCTGAGCTTTTAACCACTGTGCCACCGGGGCTCCAATATTTGCATAGTTGGAAGTAATTTCAGACAGAATAAAATGCTTAAAAATATCCCAAAATTTGGACATTATAGGGATAAAACAGCTAGGAGATTGGGAAAAAATTTTACTCTGAGTCTTGATAGTTCCCCATTGACAAATGGCTATGGACTTACAAATATTAATATTTTATTTAATCCTAAATATTCTTTTTTATAAAATAAAACCAGTTGCCATCAAGTCGACTGCCAGTCATGGTAACTCCCACGTGTGTCAGAGTAGAACTGTGCTTCATAGTTTTCAATGGTTGATTTTGTGCGAGTAGATCTCCAGGCCTTTCTTCCAAGTGCATTAACCAGTTACACCACCCAAGGACTCCCCTACAAGATAAGCTTTTATAAAACCCTATCCCACGGTTGTCACAGTGGTTATAAGCATAGACTCTGAGCCAGACCACCTGGGTTCCAACATGGATCTATTACTTATGGAAATGATTGGTCTTGGGCAACTATTTTAGCTATCCAGTGATAAGTAACAAATTCCCCAAAAGTTAGTGGCTTGACAAAATAAACATTTATTTTCTCTCTGTGTCTGTGGTCAGGATTCCAGGAATGGCTTAGCTGGGTGGTTCTGGCTCAGGGTGTCTGCTGTCATCCGGAGGCTAGTCTAGGGTTGAGGAGCTGCTCCCTCACTCACGTGGCAAATTAGCACTAGTGGTGATCAGAAGACCTCAGTTCCTTCCCACGTGGGTCTCTCCATAGAGAGGCTTGAATGTCCTCAAGACATGGCAGCTGATTTGAGTGATCCAAGAGAGAGCAAAGAAGAGCCTGAATGCCTTGTAGGAACTCATTTCAGACGTCACACAACATCATTTCCACCACGTTCTGTTTCTCATAAGTAAATCACTAAGTCCAGCTCACACTCAAGGAGAGGAAAATTAGACACCACCTTTTGAAGGGAGGAATATCAAAGAATTTGGGGACAGATTTTAAAACCAACATAACAAGTTAATAACCTTCTAAGCATCTCGGTTTTCTTATCTATACACTGAGGATAATAGTAGGAGTACCTCGTAGGGTTGCATTGAAGACTCAATGACATGATATGTGTAAAGCACTTAGAATCACACCTGGTTCATCATAAGTGCCGTGGAAGTATTGGTTTTATTTATTTTTTTCGTGATACATCTAAAGATAATAAAATGATGAGACAGAATATTATCTGAGTGATTTGGCTCTGGCCAAGTCTTTATACAGTGAAACCTGTGAGAGCCAGAACTCGATGGGACTGCCTTGTGTTTCCGGATCTTGCAAGTTTTCCACCTTTGACAAGGTGCATTCTTACCACTTTTCTATTGCTGGTTTTAGTGGAAAATATTTGAGTTTTCGTTCTCTGACAGGTTTCCCTCTTCCACAGGTTCCAACTTCCGCAGGTTTTACTGTAACCGGTCAGAACATTTTTATTCCTGTTTCCAAGGGCAATTGGCAGTTCTTTTGAAGAATCTTAAGTTCATAACTTGTTCAGAGTCTTTCCCCATCTCAGTAATGGCTCCACCATTCACATAATAAATCCTTGGGGTATCCTGATTCCTCCCATCCTATGTCCAACTGATCAGCATGCCCTGCTGGCTCTATCTTCAAATTCTATACAGTCTGTAACCCATTCTTCTCAGCCCCAGGGCACCACCAAAGCTTCTCGCTGATCTCCCTGCTTTCTCTCTTGACCCCTGCCTGCAATCTATTCTACACTGAGCAGCCAGAGTGATCTTTTTTAAAATATAAATAAGATCATTTCACTTCCTGGCTCTAAACCTTGCAATGGATTCCCTCAAAACAACATTCAGACTTCTCTCTCTACTTCACTCACTCAGTCACTGAGACTGCAACCTCAGCCACTCAGCTGCAGTAGCCTTGCTGGCTTTCTTGCTGTTCTCCAGTTCATCAGGCATATCTTGACCCCAGGGCCTTTGCACGTACTCTTCTCTCTGCCTAGAAGATCTTTGCATGACTCATTCTCTTATTTCAGTCAGGTCCCTATTCAGTGTCACCTCTTCAGAGGGACCTTATGTTAGTGGCTTATCAAGAACATACTCCAAACCCCAATATCACTCACTTAATATGATGCCACCTCTAAGTAACACCATATAAACTATTTGCGTGTTTCTAGTCTGTCTCCCTCAGTAGACTGTAAACTCTATGAGAGCATTAGAGTTTGCCTTGTTCACCAGTATACACCCTGCACTCAGAATAGTGTCTGGCACATAGTGGATACTCAATAAATATTCATTGAATGAATGAATGAATGAGCAAGCAGAGTTATGAGTCAATTCATTAATCCAGAAGTTATAACATGGTGGCTAGTCTGGCCTACAAATATATTTTGTTAAGACAATATTCACTGATAGTGTTTGTTTTTTTTTTTTTTTATATGTGGATTACTTGATAACATTCGTAGGTTGTGAAATTTCTCATACACATTCTGATTTCTGTCTTCTTTTGAAAAATCAAGAGATATTTTTATCTGGAATCCTGATGGTAAAAATTACATGATGTTGATGAGCACCTGCTCCTTTTAGATACAGTTTGCTCCAGATCTCACCACTGCCTATTATTTTTCTGACACCAAAGACCTTCTTACACCCAACACCCTCCTGTCCTCTATGCTACTTGCCTAGCCCTGTAGACTTTCAAGACCCCTCGATTAAGCATGTTTGTGGTAAGTCTGCAGAATTCTGTTCCACATGACTGTAATTTTTCACGTCTAACTTAAAAATGAGATTTGCCTTGAGCTGGATCTCTAAGTAACATTCATAATAAGATACACATTTCAGTCTTAGGTGCTATTCTAATTGTAGAACGATCACCCACTTTGACAAACTCAGCAAAAAACCTTCACTAGTAATAGGACAGAAAGACTCAATTGTGTGTCAAAACAGTTTTCAATTTTGGAAAAGTGTATTTTTAAAACTTTTTTAAAAATAAAAATGTAGATTTGAAATAGTTGTCTTTATTTTCAAAACCTCATGAACATTCTATCCAGATGTTTACCTAAAGTGATTCATTTACTAGTGTGGGATACACCCAATTGTCCTAAGAAAGAAAATAACTGTTTAACAATAGATGATTGCTTATTCTGAAGTCAGATAAACAGAAATAGACATATAATAGTAAGAACTATGTCTTGTTGCTATTGTATAATCAAATAAAAATATGCATATAATAGCAAGAACTATGTTTTTTTGCTTGTAGTATAGCCAGCACCTGTATATTTTAGGGGCTTGAATATTTATTAAGCATCTACTATGTGTAAGGCACTGTTCTAGGCACTTGTGGAGCCTATCTTCTACCTTATTCTCTAGGGGAGCCAGTCATAAAAAAAAAAAAATACTAGGAAAAAAAATTATATAATATATGCAATAGAAGGTAATAGTGCTGTGGATAAAAAGGAAAATAGAACAGGTCTCTGGGTGGTGCAAACCATTTGTGCTTGGCTACTAACCAAAAGGTTGGTGGTTCAAATCCACCCAGTGGCACCATGGAAGAAAAGCTTGGCAATCTACTTCCATAATATTACAGCCATTGAAAACCCTATGGAGCACGGTTCTGCTCTGAAACACGTGGGGTCACCATGAGTCAGAATCAACTCGATAGCAACAGGTTTGTTTTGTTTTTTAGAACAGGGGAAGGGAGATTGGGAGGCCTGACCCATTACTGTGTTTAATAGTGTGGTCAGTATTGGTCACGGTGAGAAAGTCAGATTTGAGCAAGAGCTGAAGGAGGTAAGGGAGTTAGCCAAGTGGATCTGGGGCAAAGAGCCTTCCAAGAAAAGGAAAGATCTAGAGCTGAGGCTCTAAAGAAGGAGTGTGGCTGATGTGTTCAAGGAGCACTGTGTGGCTGAGCTAATGTTTACTTAAGTAAGTTGACAATAGTAAAAAAACAAGTGTGTGAATGCACATACTCTTCTCCGTATGATTAGTCTACTTTCCTCAGCTCAGGAACAATCTATTTTTAAATTAACCTATAGTTTGACTTGGCCATCACCTGGGCATTTTAGACTCCATGACAGTAAAGAGACATCATCAGCACTGCGGGTTCAATTTTGCAAGGGGACCTTAAGCGACTGGTTCCAGTTGCCCCCCAGTGGAGATCCTGACCCTAAGCTCTGCCTGACTGAGTCTCATGAACTGGCTGCATTTTCATTATTCCCAACACAATTTCCTGTTCCATATATCAAACCCTGGTGCTTTTCAAAGGGGTGTTCCATGAGGAAAAGAATAAGAACCTGCATTTGTTATCTTACTCTGCATGCTAAGTACTCTCCACTAAGCAACGCAGTTCAGAAGGTGCCTTACACAAACCTTCCACTCAGAGCTTCTTGTCTCCTCCTTGACGTAGCTCCTTGCAGAGGACTGGCCTTTTGGAGCTGAGATGTGCAAGCTGGTGCCTTTCATACAGAAGGCCTCCGTGGGAATCACTGTGCTGAGTCTGTGTGCTCTAAGTATTGACAGGTGAGAGTTTGTATTTAAAGTCAGGTATATTCTGAATACTATACTCCTGATCGCTACGTTGCTTAAAAAATAAAATCTGTAATTCAATAAAACTAGGCTGTGCCAGCTTGAGAACCCATTCTATTTTGATCTTCAGATATCGAGCTGTTGCTTCTTGGAGTCGAATTAAAGGAATCGGGGTGCCAAAATGGACAGCGGTGGAAATTGTTTTAATTTGGGTGGTCTCTGTGGTTCTGGCTGTCCCTGAAGCCGTGGGTTTTGATATGATTACGGTTGACTACAAAGGAAGTTATCTGCGAATCTGCTTTCTTCATCCCACTCAGAAAACAGCCTTCATGCAGGTAAATTTTACCCTTTTTTTCCCCCCTTTTCTGTTCTTACCTAATAAATATTTAGCTATTTTCCTCCTGATCACCCCTTCTTGGGATAGCTATCCATTGATAACTGTCCTTGGCATAAATTGGAACCCTGGTGGTGCAGTGGCTAAGAGCAAGGCTGTTAACCAAAAGGTGGCAGTTAGAATCCACCAACTGTTCCTTGGAAACTTTATAGGTCGGTTCTACTCTGTCCTTTAGGGTCGCTATGAGTTGGAAATGACATGACAGCAATGGGTTGGCAAAAATTAAGAGCATATATCCCAGGACTGCAGGGCTCACATGGACTAATGGCCTAAGGTGCAAGAAGCTGGGTCACGCATCTCTAAGAACCTCCTGGCTCTCAGGGACACAGATCATGTCACTGCCACAGATAAACCAAGTTCACATGTAAGAATTGATCTGAATTTATAGCTTTTCTACCCACAGCCTCATAAGGAATGGCAACTACTACATGTTCTGAATAAGACCAAACCCTTCCCCGCAAGAAAACAAACAAACAAACCCTTTGCCATCAAGTTGATTCTGACTCATGGTAACTCCATGTGTTACAGAGTAGAACTGCGCAGTAGGGTTTTTGTTTCTTTGTTTTTGTGAAACTGTACACAACAAGGAGCCCCGGTGGCACATTGGTTAAGAGCTCGGCTGCTAACCAACAGGTCATGAGTTCAAATCTACCGGGGGCTCCTTGGAAACCCTATGGGGCAGTTCTACTCCGTCCTATAGGGTCTCGGTGAGTCGGAATTGACTTGACAGCAACGAGTTTGTTTGTTTTTGGTTTTTATATACAACAAAACATACATTCATTCAACAGTTTTTACATGTACAATTCACTGACAGTAGTTACATACTTCACATTGTGTCACCATCCTCCCTATCTCTGTCCATATTGTTTCACCACCGTTAACTTCGACTCTCTGCCCCTTAAATTTCTCCTCTGTGTTTTAGAGTTAGTCTTGTCTATTTAATCTCATATAGATATATCTGTAAACGAGAACAATGCTCAAGGTGAACATTCTTTATTAAATGAGCTCCATAGGGATTTCTTGGCCTGGCTTCCGAGGTACCGCTGGCTGGGTTTGAACTGCCAACCTTTAGGTTAGTAGTCAAATACAAACCATTTGCACTACCGAGGGACCACACTACAGTAATCAGAGGGAGTGGATGGTTCAGTGGATATTCAACTGGAAATCACCCTGATAGGGATGGATTCTCAAAGGCAAGCCTGCCATTTCTCTTTGTCTGTGACACTAACGGTAAAGTTGCCATTGCAAACAACTTTTACCTTGGCCATGTATTAAAGAGCATTTCATCAGGAAATAGGAAAAGAAGAGCGATGTTGATCTCCAGAAGATTGATCCTAAGTGTAAAAGGCTCTTCCCAAAGAATGGATTAAGAGGAGCTGATACAAAGGGGGCTGGTCTAAGCGTTGCCAGTGTTAATTTCTATTTTTTGATAAGAAGATTCTATTAAACTTTAGGAATTGCGTATTACATGGTGAGCAAAATCGTAAAGAGAGACATCGACGTGAAATTGAGAATGAGGTTGCCATTTTCTGGTTTTACTGGTAAAAAGGGAAACATTTGTGTAGGTTACATAAATTCTTTTGTAACACAGATGTATCCAGAGAAACAAATGAAAAAAAAAAAAAGATAGCTTAGAACAGAAAAAAAATATAGGAAAAGGCATAAGTCATAAGCGGCTTTGAATTTTTAATAGAGAGGTCAAATGTATACATTATTAGGCTGAATGATTGACATAGACCATCTCAGATCCGTTTTTCCCCCTAAACAAACTTGATAAAACATGAAAACTTTATGTAAACACTGGGATATCTTTATGTGTTCAGATGTGGTATTTTACACAAAGAGAGCCCTAAGGATAGCATGCTTATGTGTAGAGAAAACATTGAGTTACCAAATATTTCAATTTTGGCCCAACTGCTTAAATTTTTATGCATAATTATAACACACTGCCTTAGAGTATTCAAATACTTTTTATGAAAAGTTTGTTTTACTTAATATAGTTATTTAATTATTTATTCAGTAGATGTGGCCTGAAAGATTCTATGTAGCATTTATAAAATGCATTTCCTTTAGAAGGTAAATGGTTCCTTGATGACTATGTTACTTTCAGTGTAACATTTGGTGTATAAGATTTTCTTACAGAGAAGAATTAATCATACAAATCTTCCTTTCTCCCTAGTTTTACAAGACAGCTAAAGATTGGTGGCTATTTAGTTTCTATTTCTGCTTGCCACTGGCCATTACTGCATTTTTTTATACCCTGATGACCTGTGAAATGTTGAGAAAGAAGAGTGGCATGCAAATTGCTTTAAATGATCACTTAAAGCAGGTAAGACAATAAACATTTTTGCTGACATGGTTATAGTTATTATTATGAGTCTGAAAAGTATCATGATAATACACTAAAATTATTATACACCAGAACATAATATTTCCTTTTTCTTTCTTCTGATGTCTTTGAATATAGGAAGCATCTAATTTATATTATTTAGAAATATTTTATGTAATCTAAAAGGGTCTAGATAAAATCATTCCTTTGAAAAATAAATCTTAGTCATTTTACTTCTAATTTACACTCATTATTCAATTTAAGTTCCGGGTCCTGAATTTTTACAACTGCCACTTACTTTTTGTAAGCAATATCACACATTCTGTTTTGGAAGAGAGAACACTGTGATTATAGTGAGCCATCTTCTAAGAGTCTGACTGTGCATTTATTTCAGAGACGAGAAGTGGCCAAAACAGTCTTTTGCCTGGTGCTTGTCTTTGCCCTCTGTTGGCTCCCCCTTCATCTCAGCAGGATTTTGAAGCTCACTCTTTATGATCAGAATGACCCCAGTAGATGTGAACTTTTGAGGTAAGAAAGGTATAGAAATAATTCTATAAATAAAATGCAACTCAGTTGTGTTTCCATTGATCCCATTCACAGGTAGAAAGAGCCCCATCTTTCTAACCACTAAAAAACGAAAGCAGTTACTGTCGAATGGAATCAATTCCAACTCATGGCGCCCCCTTGTGTGTCAGAGTAGAACTGTTCTCCGTAGAGTTTTAAGTGGCTGATTTTTCAGAAGTAGATAAACAAGTGTTTCTTCTGAAGCGCCTCTGGGTGGACGGGAACCTCTAACCTTTCAGTTAGCAGTTAAGCATGTTAACTGTTTGTGCCACTCAGGGACTCCTTCTAGTCTTTAGGGTGCAATTAAAATCCCTAGTTTTTGCCCTCACTCCCATTTTAGAGGAAGGAGTGAATGGAAGCTCAAGAGAATGCTGGGAATGGACTCCCAGAATTGTCAAAATGCTGAGTGAGTGACAAGTATGAAAATATTAGGTCTGGTTCTCCTTTGCATTTTGTAAACCCTTTATTTTCAAACAGCCTTAGCACCTCCAAATGAGATTTTATTTTAACAGGGAGAGTTGGATGTGTATGGGGTTGGGGGGCTTGGGGAGTGAGGATGACAGGTAGAGAGAAAGAGAGAAAGAAAGAGGATGAGAGAGAGAAGGGGAGATACCATTATCAGGAAAGACCAGTAATAAATTCAAAACCATTATACAATACGAATAAGTTGTTTTTCTTCACAAAAACACAGAAGTTTGCAATGAATATATGCTCAGAGAAGCATATTTTCCACAGACACATTTTGGGTTATTTTTTCCAGCTTTTTGTTGGTTTTGGACTACATCGGCATCAACATGGCCTCCCTGAATTCCTGCATTAATCCAATAGCTCTGTATTTGGTGAGCAAAAGATTCAAAAACTGCTTTAAGGTAAGAGAGTATTACAAAATAAAAAGTTCTTTTAATCTGACATCAAACATAACCCTTCAAATCCATCAACATTTTTATCCAGAGCAACGTAGTAAATCATTTTACAATTTTCCCTTGCATTGTATCATGGATTTTTTTTTTTTTTTTAATCATGACTTTTACTTACAAATCACTGTAGTCAATTTTTGCCTATGGATCATAGTCAACCACTCCCTACTGCCTCAACCAATTAGTTATACTCATGGAATTGCTCAGAAAATTAATAAAAATTATACTCATAGATGTCTGACAGATGTCACATAATAAGATAATAGCTAAACATAGATTAACTGTTCTGCTTCTCAGTTTTTGGGAGATTTTGGATGATACAGCCACAACAAATCTGAATTATAAACAAATTAGTCCCTTTTTCCATGACTATGAAAACAGCAAATCAAACAAAGAAATACAATTAAACTTCTCCTCTTTTCCATCTTCTTGGTAAAGGAGAAATGTGCTGCTCAATGTGGAATATTTGTCATTATTCCTCAGTCAGCTGCCTGCATCCTAACAGCCATCCATCCATTCATTCACTCCTTCAACAATCTAACAAGAAATAATATGTTTCCTCCCTGATATGGGAATAGCTCATTTGTCCCTGGGATTTCATCATTGGAAAGCCAAGAATTTAGCTGCCCTATAAAATCCAAGGCAGTTTATAAAATTCTCACTCATAATTTATAGATTTTAGAGCTGGAAAATCATAAATTCATAGATTTTAGAGTTGAAAGAGAAGGTTCATCAAGATCAACTCGCTCGTTTTATAAAACAGAAAACAGTGGATCAACCGTCTTCTCATAATGTAATTTCTTAGAAAACAAACGGAACAAAATTTTAGATTAAAAAAAATTCAAGAAAAAAATGGGAAAATTATAATTGAGATGCTTGTATACTTTAAAACCTTATTGTAGAACAACATTGAAATGGCACATGAGACTATCATGTGGCTGAAGAAAATGGTGATGTAGCCCTAAATTCACTGGGATGGAAAGATGTTTATGACGTTCTTAAATGAAAAAAAATTAGGCTATGCAACAGTATGTGTACTGTCATCTCACTGAAATAAATTATAACCCACTCACAAGCACATGCACGCATACAATCGTGTATATAAGTGTGTGGTAGTATCTATATCTATTTTTCCTATTTGCATAGAAAATATATTTAAGTATCTTGTTTTTGTTTTTGTTTTTTTTAGTGTAACAGAATATATTTGTTGTGAATAGATAAGATTCGAATCAGTCAGTGTCACCCAAACGTATTGGGAAGGCGCTCCAAAGGGGGACATTGAAAGCGGGTTATATAGGTCATTGCAATGTTAATTTCTCAGGAGATAACATCAAAGCATGAGCAAGGCTTCAGGGTCCATAGGTTACAGAAACAGAATCACCGAGGACATTCCATACATACTAAAACACAGCTTCTAGTCAGACCCTGGAATTCCTGCTTCTCGAACCTTGGCTGCACATAAATAATTTTCCAAAAGAACCCAATACTTAAGGCCAAAGGACTCCACTCAGCTGCTTAGTAAGCTATTATTTGACGTGAAGGTGACTCCAGGGAGCCACTTTCTTCAAGGCTCAAAAGGACACCTAAGGGGGATGGCCTGGGTGGGTCACCTATTTAAGTATCTATTTATCCAAGTATTGAAAGTGACTTTTTCTTGATGAGGCGTCTTAAGCATATCTTTTTTTTGCTTCTCTGTATTTTCTAGTATCACATGCTAGTATCGTTTACATACTCTGTATATACTTCTAGTATCATATACTACCTGTATAATATGTAATTATATATTTTTAAGGATAAAAACTAAGAGAGCTTAGAAAGGAAGTGGTCCAAGAATTCTCAGCCATGCACAGCAAGTCAGAACCTTGGAGAGTTGTGACAGTTGCACTGATGTAAACGTATAATGAGTGACTTTGTTTTATACAGTCATGCTTATGCTGCTGGTGCCAGTCATTTGAAGAAAAACAGTCCTTGGAGGAAAAGCCATCCTGCTTAAAGTTCAAAGCTAATGACCACGGATATGACAACTTCCGTTCCAGTAATAAATACAGCTCATCTTGAAAGAAGGAATACTCACTTCTTTTTTTTTTTTTTTTTTTTTTTAATTTTGGACAAAAGTCATTAAAACGATGAGATGTTTGCCAACAAAACAAAAAACCATGTTTGCACAAGGAAGTGTGAAGATGTAAGAGTGATTATTAACATTCATAATTACACATGGCATTTTAAGCTGTTTACAATATAAGAAAAGCAGTGAGAATTAAGGAAGCCTCATTGTTAAAGCACTTAATTTTTTAGTTAGCACTTCAACATAGCTCTCAATAACTTCTAGTATATTCATACACCATTTACATTTAAAACGAGCTCACTCAGGATTCTTGTTGTTAGGTGTCTTGAGACCTTGTCGACTCATTGCGACCCCACATGACAGGGTAGACCTGCCCTATAGGGTTTTCTTGGTTGTAATCTTTATGGAAGCAGATCATCAGGTCTTTCTCCTGTGGAGCCTCCGGGTGGATTTGAACCGCCAACCTTTTGGTTATCAGTTAAGAGCTCAGTTGTTTGTGCCACTAGGGCTCCTTAGGATTCTTATTAACCCACTGCCATCGAGTCAATTCCAACTCATCGCGACCCTGTAGGACAGAATAGAACGTCCCCATAGGGTTTCCAAGGCTGTAAATCTTTAAGGAAGCAGACTACCTTATCTTTCTCCTGCAGAGGGGCTGGTGGGTTTGAACTGCTGACTCTTTGGTTAGCAGCTGAGCACTTAACCACCGCACAACCAGAGTTCACAGAATTTTTATTAGAAAGGTTTATTTAAAAATTTATGTGACTCTGATACAAAGGAAAAATGTGTCACTGTAAAACAGAATTTTCAAGGAAAATTTAAATTACTCAATTTGATTTAAAAAATCCTTTCAAGCAAACTTTTTATTCATAGTGTCACACTATTTGTCAAACTATGATTGGTTACAAAATGTGAAAGCAGTTTGGCTGCTGTATTTTTGAACACTAGAAACATATTTAATTGTTTGGATGGAATATCAGGAAGTGAGATCTCGACCAAGTTTTTGAAAATCATCAAACTCGTTAAATTCTTATAAGATCAAAGTTCCCAAAGGGAAAGAGAGAGATGGTTTGGAATGCTACCCCAAAAGACTTCTTTGAAATCTTCCATTCATATACTCCACAAAGAAATACTACCTACAATGTTTGTAGGATTATTAAAATATTCATCTTCTTTTGCTCTTGTAGTCTAAACTGTATTTGCTTTGTTTCGTTATCTGTAAATACTTAGTTACGGACACTACATGCAGATTATTAAGCCAAGGGCAGGCCCCGTGTTCATACCTTTACAATGGAGAGATGCCAGTAACTCAAGAATGGATAAATGTGAATTGCCTGGAGCAGTGTCCACATGACAAAGGAGCAAGCAGCATTCTCTCTCACCAATGCCATAGTTAAAATTGTGTCTGTCATGTGTATAACATTAGAGTTAAAATACTATTTTTTTCAAATCACTCAAATTAGCCAATTAACAGCTACCTATAAAGCTTACTAAATGAAAAAAAAAAAAAAAAATCCATTGCCTTGGAGTCAATCCCAGCTCATAGTGACCCTATAGGACAGAGTAAAACCGCCCCATAGAGTTTCCAAGGCTGTAAATCTTTCTGGAGGCAGACTGCCACATCTTTCTCCCATAGAGCAGCACCGCCAGGGCTCCTTTGCAAGGCTTATTACTAATTTTTATATTATTTTTGTAAATAACTGTTAGAAAATAGTTCTTGACACGGTGCTTTTCTATGACTTAGAAGCAAAACTGCTTTTGGAGGCTGTAAGAAACTCATGCTTTTTACATTCTTGCCTACTTCTTGAATCTCCCCGGCAAAGTGCCTTAGGTTTCCTTGAGATGGGATGCGTGTGAAACTATGTACAGAGAAAACAGAAGGGAGAGGAAACGAGGTGGGGAGGGAGGAAGCCCGTGGGGACAGATTCCCATTCTTAGCCTGACGTTCGTCATTACTCCGTCACATCAATGCAAAAGGTCCTGATTCTGTTCCAGCAAAGCACAGTGCAATGTTCTGAGAGTGACTTCAGGAACAAATTAAGCCCAAGAGCTTTAACTCAGTCTTAAAATATAACAGAGTTTAGATTTTTTTTTTTCCTCTTAGTAACCTGGGTCACATGTTGGAAATAACCTAGCAATGTTGTTTTCTACTAGCATCTAGCATGATACAGTAAACCAAAACCTGACAACGTGGCCAATAAGAAATCACAATAACTAATTCACATGCCACATGGACTCTACTTAGAAATCACTCTAAGACCTGTCTATTAATTTCTTCCCAATCACCTTGTCAAATGTGTGTCATCGCAAAAGACATTTCAAGCTTTAGACTTGAAATTAAAACTTGAGTCACTAATATTTTCACAGTTTGTTAATATATTTTTTTATTCCCATTTAAGTTTTAATTCATTTTTACACCATGTACTAAGTTTTGGTTCTTCCTCTTCATTTCCATCCTTGTATCCTTTCCTTTTCCATGTCGGAATTGTGACCTGTAATCATCTTGCCAAATCTCAGAATTGCACATAGAATATACACGCACTATTTGTAATGAAATTGGACTCAGTAGCTTTTCGAAAAATCTTTGATTCAAAACTTCAACAGACTGATATAGGCTGATAAGAAACAAATATGATTTCTTGGTATGATTAAAACCGGATAGGAAAAGGTGCTACTGTTTAAAACATTTTTTCCTAGTATTAAGAGCTGCTTAATATAGCAATAGACAAAAATGTTAACACTGAAGCTAGAGCTCAAAAGGTTTATAAATGAATTTAGTCTTTTTTCTCCTTTATACACTGCTAATATGTCGGTATGTTCAAAGACCTTTATGGATTGACAGCTTAAATATGACTAAGGAATAGTTTGTAGAAAAATATGAATATGCTATAGCTAACTTTATAAAATTGTAATATAACCATGTAAAATAATTATATATTTTGTTTTTCCGTGGTCACTTAAAGGGGCAACTACTGTAGTTGCTATTTCCTTACTATGTAAACAAGCTCAATAAATACCAAAATTGTTTAAAAAAAAGAGTTCAGCTTGTTTTTCACTATGCAGGCAATAATTAATTAAATACTAATTGATAAAGTTTTAAAGAAAATACAAATGCTACGAGTGGACATTATTTTTTTTAAGCATTCAATTATCAAGAAAATATGAAAGTTCTTTTTAAGATTAATGTGCCAAGTTTCTGGTCTGTAAGCTGTGTTATTGTTGTTATATTTTATTGTTGTGGGGCCAGATATACATATAGACATTCAATATTCCTGGGTTTGCTATCTGGCTGATGGTTTCTTTGGCCTCTCAAGTCAGTCTTTCTCTTGTTACCTGCTTTTGGGCCATTTCACCATTTAATCATCATTGTGTCACAGGTCAAAGGTGACAAGTTGGAGGGGATGAGGTTTAAGATTACTCATTCCATTCCACAAGCTTCTTTTGAGTGTTTATTATGAGCAAGGTGGAATGAAATTAACAACACGTAGGGTCCTTACTCAGTAGAGACAGAGAGGATAAACTTTAATACAAGGTAAAATAAAAGTACTAAATAACTGCATGCAGGCTGCTATAGAAGTTTACGTGCTATGTCTGTTAGTACATGGTCCTATTTGTCATCTGCTAAAAATAATCAAGAATTTGCATTTACTCTTTTCCCATATAATTACGTAAAACATCACCTCATGTTCCAGAGATTTCTATCATTTCTGACTGACCTTTCCTGGATTCAGCTGCTTAACATCAAAGATGTGTTGAAACCCATGTGAAATTGTTCACTACAGATTAGTAAATAAACACTTAAAAGCCCGTGCATACCTTGCTTAACGCAAGCCCATACATACCTTCCTTACTGGTTAATCTGCTCCTGTCCGTAGGACAGAGCAGAACTGCCCCATAGGGTCTCCAAGGCTGTAAATCTTTATGGAAGCAGACTGCCACATCTTTTCCCCACAGAGTGGCTGGTGGGTTCAAAATGCTGACCTTTCAATTAGCAGACAAGCACTTAACCACTGCTCCATCAGGGCTTCTAGAATACAGAAAGAGAATAAAAAAATGAAAGAAGAGGGAGAAAAAAAGGGAAGGAGAAGAGATTGAGAGTAAAACCTTGAGGGTCACAATTGCAAAAGAAATGACAAGAAGAGATATTCAGAAAGGACTGCAAAGAACAAGAGAGACTGGTGTCATGAAAGTCAAGGGGAAGAGGGTACAAAAAAACAAAGGGGCAGGCAGAGAATTTGAGTAAAATGGGGACAAAAAAGTGACCTTTGGAAATGGCAATTTAAAATCATTGGAGACTTCATCTAGAGCAGTTTCTGTGTAGGCATGTAGCGTTTGTTGTATATGTGTATGTTGTATGTGAGAGAGAGCTAAGGACTAACAAAAGAACTTGATGGCAATGTATTAAAGAGTGGATGGGTGATGAGAAAACAGGAATACATTTTTATCATATGTACATACAAATATATATATATAGAGAGAGAGAGCCCTGGTGGCACAGTAGTTAAGAGCTCAGGCTGCTAACCAAAAGGTCAGCAGTTTGAATCCACCAGTTGCTCCTTAGAAACCCTATGGGGCAGTTCTACTCTGCCCTGTAATGTCACTGTGAGTTGGAACTGACTTGACAGCAACAGTCTGGTTTTGGTTATGTGTATATGTTTTATATATATACATACATATATACAGTGATAGTTAAGGTTGTGTGTCAACTTGGCTGGGTTGTGATTCTCAGCAATTTGGCAGTTATGTAACAATGTAGTTTGGCAGTTA